AAATACACGAAGAAATGCTTGGCACTGCTGGCCATTTGAAGAACGCAAATTAAAATGACACTGAGATTCATCTTACCGCAGGAAGAAATCAAATAATAACAAATGCTGGAGAGGCTTTGGGGGAGCAAGAACCCTTCTCCTTGTTGGTGGGAGTGCAGCAGCACAACCACTAAGGATTCAACATGAAGAGTCCTCAGAAAACAAGAACCAGCAACTCCACGCAGCTCATCTATTCCCCTTCTGGGCATCTTCCCAAAAGACTTCGAGACATCGTAACGCAGGGATCCATGCACACACATGTTGAGCACCTGTCACACACTGGCCGATCAACACAAGGTTTTGGAAGGGCCGCGCCTCTTCCTCCCAACAGGACGTGTTCGCCCTCTTATGGTGCCTGTGCATGTGCGGTCTTTTCTTGGCCTTTCCTCTTCTAATATATTCAGACTTCTGTTACTTTTGCTGGAGACCCTTCTCCACCTCTCAGCTCCCAGGTTAGTGAAAGCAGACATTTAAAACATCTTCCTCAGTCTTGCAGTGACACTGTCATATCTCTGTTCTGATTCTGGTACCTTTAATATCGGTGCACCTGTGTGTGTGTGTGTGTGTGTGTGTGTGTGTGTTACAGGGGCTTCACTCTGCAACAAGGCCTTGTGGAGTTGCCCAGGTTGGGCTTGCACATGTAATTCTCCTGCCTTAGCGTCCCAATGTGCTGGGATTACAGGTTTGTTCCATCATGCCCAGCCCTTTTAATATATTTAGTTCAAAAGTAAAAATATTAAGTTAAAAGAACCCAGAGTACCTGAAGAGACAGCTTACAAAAAAAAAATTTCTAAACTAAACTTAAAACTAGATTCATCCAGTTATTTTTCATCTAAGACAGCAGAAGAAAATAAGCACTTAATTTCTTCAAGTTTCTCTCCAAATCACTTAGCACAATTCTTTTCAAGAATATTTGTCACCTAAAGGTGACCAGTCTACCCATTTTCAGGAGTAGGAAAGAAAATGATAAAAACGTCCTCACTCAGAGCCTGCTTCTCTCTCCTCAGACTGACTGTGGAACCTGTCATAACCATTAGCTGCATCTCCACCTCCCTGAGGAGGAGCCACACAGGGCGGGTGCCCTCCAGCAAGCGGCTAGGGGCCAGGCCCAACCAGCCGAGCATCCCAGGTCTGCACAGGGACCCTCAGGCCCAGCACCTACCACACAGTTCCGCTCCCTGCTGCCACACGCGCCAGCCAAGCACTGCCTCTCTTTCTTGTTACATTTCCTTCGACTGTGTAGAAACTCTTTTAGAAGTGTGAAAGTTACTGAAAAACCCATATCCCAAAGCTGGCACTGAGTGGGGACAAAACTCCGCCCCCGGCACCCAGAGGTGAGGCCGGGCCTGCAGGCTGTGAGGCCTTGCTGACCGCCTGCAACCCTCTCTCGGAGAGCCATCAAAGGTTCTGCTGAATGATATTTCTAAGGGCCTTACTGTTCTCTTTCACCAACTGAAATGTCCTTCCCCAGCACTTGAAAAAAGTTGCTCTGGCTTTTCATCTCTCCCTCTCAGAGTGTAAACATTGTTTTGCGTGAAAGGAGCTGAGAAAGAGCTTGCTTTCCCTTGAAATTTTATTTTTAAATAAGAGAGGGAGAAAATCCTTTTGGGGACTAATACTAATAATACAGGTCAAAGTGTCAGGCGATATACAATTAAATGGAAAACAAAAAAGGTCCCCCTCTTTTTCCCACAGCACAATAGCACTGGAATATAAATCACCAATGAAGATGAAATAACGCTTCAAAGCCTGCGGGGTGGGCAGTGCGGTGTTTACAAAGTATTTTCCAGAGCACGATGAGACATTAAAGATGATGGTAGCCCCGGAACCCAGGGGGTTGCTGAATAGACCCAAACTAGCATGAGGTAGGATTTTAGGTCCCTATCGCCTGTGACCCCGAGATATGCTTTGTTTCACAAGGGCAGCTGCAGTTATCAACAGATGTTTCAGCAATAAATAATTGGTATCATCTCGGAAAAGACCCACCTACCTGGGGCGAGGGCATAATACCCCAAACACTGCGGCCATTACAGCCACATTAATCTCCCATCTCCCCGGCGTCCTCGGGAGCGTCCTGCAGGTGTTTTTCCTGGGAGAGAGCGGACAAACTCTCTCAAGTCAGGCAGCTTTGTGTGGCGTGTAAAGGAGGTTGGCCCCTGCCATAAATTTCTGTCTGTGGCCACACAGCAAAGGAGAAAAGACTGGGGGCGGAGGGGGAGTGGCACTGGCGAAGCGCGAAGCAGGGTTTCCCCTGACAAGCGCAGCCTGGGAGAGCAAGCAATGCTGTAAATGCCCCCGCATCACCAAAGACTCGGCTGTTCATGAGTGGTTTTAGTTTTGGTGCCGTCTTTGTGGAACTGACTGAAAGATGAAGTATGCATACTCTAAGCAGGATGCTCATTTTAAAAATGGGCAGGAAATTTTTTATGGGAAAGATTTGCTTCAAGGTTAAAAAAAAATCACGGAAACAATGAACAAACTGCAGGAAAGCATAAGAATTGAAGAGACAGTCAGGGCCCTTCAGCTATTGTTCTGTGGAAGAATAGACTCTCACAATTCATCACTTACTAACCACCAGTTTCAGTAGACCCTCAGATCGAAACTGAATTATATTGGGACAAAAAAAGAAAAAGTCTAGAATCAAGGCAAGAGTCCCAAGCAGGGTATGGGGAGAGGTTGATAGGTATCCGCGTTTACAAAACCGAGTGGGTTAGCAGTTCCAGAGGAAGGAATCCCCAAAGTCTTAGGGGGTGGGCTGCTTAATTTAAAGCTTGCTGGGAGGCTAAAGAAAATGAGCTCAGAGTTCAGAAAGCTCCCAGATGATTACCTTAGGGACTGTCGGAGGCCCAGTGGACCAGTCCTGAGGCTGCCGCTGAGTGGCTCTGAGGGCCCCACCTGCCACTTTCCCTGCGCTTGTTTCCACGCCAGACAAGGCCTGGCGCCTGAGGCAGGCCGTGTCCGCACGCATGCCCAGTCCTACTCGTTCATTTTCCATTGCTGGCCTCCCGCCCTGTGCCCTGGCGTCCCCACCTGGCTCTGCCCTGGCCTCTGCTCCTGGCCCTGTCCTTTGGGAGCAGCGAGTCGCGCACATCTGTGGAATCTGCCTCCACCGGACCCAGTGCTGGACCCGCCCCAGACATTTCGTTGGATCGATCAGTTCAGGCGCATGATCGGGCGCAGGAAAGTCTCACTGCAAGGGCTGCTGTTTCAGGGACGAGCGTCCCTACGCCAGAGCCCGGCCACAGGCGGAACGCACTTCGAAATGAACCAAAGATCCGAGCGCGCCGCATACCCAGGGCTCAGAGCCACACCCTCCAGGCACCGTGGCAAAGCCCTGCTGGCCACGGGAGCTCAGGGCGCTGAGTGCCAGTGTGCATCTGCTCCGGCAGGCGGGCTGCCTTCTGTACCTCACCTCCTCACCGCAAAGGGAGGTGAAGGCCACTGGGGTGCTGTTTGGGTAATTAAGTGACATAATGCAAGGGCCGGGATTGAGCTCAGTGGTTCTGCTGCCTGCCTTGCAATAACAAGGTCCCGAGTTCGATCCCTGGTACCAAAAAAAAAAAAAAAAAAAAAAAAAAAAAAAAAAAAAAAAAAAAAAAAAAAAAAAAAAAAAAAAAAAAAAAAAAAAAAAAAAAAACCATAAAAAAACCAAA